TGACCGGCTCAGCCTTCCTGGGTTGGGGCGGGGGCTGGCATGGCATGTCGTTCTGGGGATCTAACCTTGGTCTCTGCACTTGCCTAAGCAAGTGCTTAGTCTGCTGAGCTATCTTGCTGGCCCTCTTCTGGTTTCAAATGAATTTTAGTAGTGTTTTATCTAATTCTGTGAGGTATGCTGATGGTATTTTGATTGGGACTGCATTACATTTATATAACAATTTTGAGTTAGGCCATTTTTGCATTGTTTATTCTTCCTATCCATGAACAGGAGATATCTTTCCCTTTTCTGAAATCCTATTTGATGTATTTTTCAGAGTACTGTAATTTTCAATGTAGAGAACTTTGACTTCCTCTTACGGTTTGTGTCTAGATGTCCCCTGAAAGCCTCATGTAGTCATGGCATGGGCTTCTAGAGTTTGTGATTGATTTATGATCCAATGATGGGATTATGTATGTGAGTGGTGCCAGGTTTATGGAAGTGAGTGCTACACCCACCCTGGGGTTGATAACCTGGATCCTACATAAAGGAGGGAAAGAGGCTTGCCCTCTTCCGCTTCACCTCCCTTTTTGCTTGTGCTGTTTTGCTGTTTTCTGATGCTATGAACGGCTGCCCTCTACAATGCCACCCTGCCTTGGAGCCAACTGATTATGGACTGAAACCTCCACAAACTATGAGCTACATAAACTTTTTCTTCCTTAATTCTGGGTGTCAGATATTTTGTCCCAGAAGTGACAGAAAAGTAACCAAAGGTACTTCCTTTGTTAGATTGGATCCTATTTCCATTTTTGCATTCTATTGTGAAAGGTCTTGTTGCTCTAATTTTTCTCTCAGTGAGTTGTTTGTGCACAGGAATGCTATAGATTTTTGAATATTGATTTGTATCCACTACACTACTGAATTTGGTTATGAAATCTATAAATCTTTTAGTGGATTTCTGGAGTCTTCTAGGTAGAATATAATGACATCTATCAATAATGATAATTTAGCTTCTTCCTATCCTATCCTTATTTCTTTTATTTCTTTCTCTTGTCTAATTACTTTGGCTTGTGTAAAGAGTGGTGATAGTGACATCCTTGGTCTTGCTCCTGATTTTGCAGGGAAAGTTTTCAGTTTTTGACTATTTAGTATGACATTGGCTGTTAGTTTGTTATAGATGAATTTTTTCAGATTAAAATGAAGTCTATTCTAATGTTTGGTAGAGTTTTTACTATGAATGAGTGGGTGTTGGACTTTGTCAAGTGTTTTTTTTTCTGCATCTATTGAGGTGATCATGTGCTTTTTGTCTTTGGCTTTGTTGATGTGGTGTATTACATTTATTGATTTGGGTATGTTGAATCATGCTTGCATCCCTAGAATGAATTCTACTTGGTCATGATGTATAATCTTCTTGATGATTTGTTATATTCTGTTTACCAGTATCTTATTGAAGATGTTTGCAAATCTGTTCATTGTGGAGATTGTACTGTGGTTTCCTTTTTTGATTGGGTCCTTCTCTGCTTTTTGGTAACAGGGTAAAACTTGCTTCCAGCAATGATTTTGGAAGTATTGCTTTCTTTTTAATGTCTCTAAAGAGTTTCAGCATTAGAGGCAGTAGATCTTCTCTAAATTTCTTCTAGAATTCAACAGTGAATCTTTCAGGACCTGGGATTTTTTTTTCTCTGTGGGTAAACTTTCAATTTTATTGACTAATACTGGGCTATTTGGAATTTTTATATCTTCTTGATTCAGTTTTGGCAATTCATATGTGCCTAAGAATCTGTTCATTTCTTCTGTGCTTTTCTTATTAGAATATAGATTCTTAAGGTAAGTATTGGTGATCTTGTGGATTTCCATAGGATCCATTATGATTGAAACTTTTTCATTTCTAAGTGCTTGAATTTCAGTCTTTCCTCTTTTTAGTAAGGTTGGCTAAAGGTTTATTAATTTTATTTAATATTTCAAAGAACCAACTCTTCAATTCATTGATTCTTTGTATTATTTTCTAGTCTCAAAAGCATTAATTTATGCTATTATCTTTATAAGTTCTTCCCTTGTATGAGCTTTGGATTGATTTGCTCTTTTTCTAGGAGTCTGAGTTTCAACATTAAGTTGTTTATTTGCACTAACTATGTTTTCTTTTTTAAAATTTATTTTTTTTCCATACTTTTATTGAGAAACAAATAGCAGTGAGACAGTTTCAAACCAAATTGGTAGGACAGTTTCAATACTTAACACATTGCATACATTCTTCCTAGTGGTTAACTGCTGTACAAGATACAGACATGATATTCAATTTGCAAACATCATTAGAACAAATCTCTCTATTCATTAAGAGAATGTTAACTATATATCTATCCTAACCACTTGGAATACACAGATACAAAATGGACATTCATCTGTAACCCCTTTTTTTGTTAAGTTCCATTATTTGAATATTATAGGTGTGTAAACTCAGCAAAATATTCTAAAAGAGTCCAGTAGTCCATAATAGTATTGGGTCTTCTGCTTAACTGGCGATGTCAGAAATTGTTGACGATGTAGAGTGTGCCTAAGGAGAGTCACATGGAGAGAAAATATTCTCTCAGGCTTTCACAGAGAGCACATTGGTCAAGCAATGGCCGTGACTCATCCACATGGCTGACACTGACAAAGGATCTACAATCTGAGGTACAGGATCTCAGCATAAATCCTGAGGGGATTTCACTGATCTTATCAGACCCAAAAGCTACAACTCTTGTTGCATAGGTCCTGATTTACCTTGGTCTTAACCAGCCAGCAGAAATGTATAAAAACAAAATATAAGAAGTAAAGCCGTGGTGTTATGTTGAGCTGTAGGGAGCTCTGTTTTCTTGATATGAGAATTCACTGCTATGAATTTCCCTCTTAGGACTGCTTTCATTGAATATCATAAGTTTAGTGTGTTGTATGAGCATTATCTTTTAATTGTAGATACTATTTAATTTCTTCTTTAATTTCCTGTATGGCCCATTGGTTGCTCAGGAAGGTATTTTTAAATTTCCATGCGTTTCTGGAGTTTTTGTGGTTTCTTTTGCCATTGATTTTCATTTTCATTACACTGTGGTGAGATAATATACATGGGATAATTTCAGTTCCTCTGCGCCTACTTATGCATGTTATATGGGCTGATCTATGCTCTATTTTGGAGAACTTCCCACGTGCACCTGGGTAGAATACGTATTCTGATGCTGTGGGGCTTCTCTTTGTGGGGCCTTGGGCCTATGTCCTTTCCAGCCTGAATTTAAACTGCTTATGTGTGTGCAGGTGAGGGTCTTTATAGCTAGCTCCCTGTATGTAGCTATCTTCTGTGGGTCACTGGGAAGGATGACACTAGAAGCCCTGAAATGAGGTGGGTTTTAGTTGTCCTGAGTCCCAGATTTAAAAAATGATGCTTTCCTGAAATGATACTTGGTCAGGCAGAATGGTGAGTGCTTATACCTCAGTCCCTTTTGGGCCGATGCTTACCATATGGAAGAAGTCAGAGTCTCCTCAGAGCAAAACCTGTGCTGTTTTTGCGGTCCACAATGGCCATGACCTCCACTGTTGTTTTTCCAAGGAACTCCTGGCCCTAAATGCTTACCTTGCCTCTAGGAAGCCAGGTTCCCCTCCTATGAGCCTCCAGAACCAGGAAAGGAGACCACGTTGTCTCCTTTTTTGTATTGTGGATCACCTTTCCAATTTGTCAATAGCTTCTGTTTTCTCCTTAATTTTCTGATGATCTGCTTGATTTTTTCCCTTCACCAAGTTGTTATTTTCCATTGTCTGGATTTCAGACCTGAGAAAGGCTGAATTTTGTTACCAATCACCACTCCTCCACTTTTTTTCTGTCTATGGTATTCACTAGGTACACATTTCCTCACTATTCCTTTTCATTTCAAATGCTCACTGTAGACTTACTGTATGCAGGGAACTCTACTACATCCCATGGAGATCCCAGATATAAGTAAATCACAAACCCAGACCTAAAGCTCAAAGTCTGTGAGAAAGACTATCATTTTTTTACCTGGGCAACAATCATCCCTGCCCAATTTTTCTTTCTTTCTTTCATTAAAACAATATATTTGATCATTGCAGGGTCTTACTACACAGCTCACACTCATGGTAATTCTCCTGCTTTCAGCCACCCCTGCACTGGGATTACAGGTGTATGCCATTACTCCCAGACTCTGTGGCTGGCTCAGCCCACCCTGAGGGCAGGGCTGGTACAGCATGTGGTGCTGGGGATTGAACTGCGGTCCCTGTGCTTGCCTAAGCTTGCCTAAACAGGTGCTTTAGTTTGCTGAGATATCCTGCCGGCCCCCTGACCAACTTTTAATACCAAACAAAATCCTTAGATTATTGAGGCAACTATGGAGTCTTTGCTAGACCTTTATTGCTTCTCTTCTACTTGGACAGCAATTTCTATTAAAGTTAGGCAGTTCTTAAAAGAGAATGTCATATTGTTATTTTCTTTTAGAAACACTTCTATATCTAATGTCATTCAATGTGAGTAAATGTAAGGTCCTAAACTTACACCCCAAATTTCAACAATGCAGATGATGACAAAAATGTGCTTTCTGGATGGCAAATATACAAGTATCTTCAGATTCTTACCTGGGTGAAAACTCAGTAGGAGTTGGTGACCACAGTTTAGGTTATTTAATAGTGGAGCATTCTGAACAAGGAGTTAGGTCCTACTTCTTTTTGGCACTAGTCAGACCACAGTGAAAATATTATGCTCAGGTCAAATATGATCTAGACATAATTACACAATGAACAATTTTTATTAGCTAAAGAATGACTATGGAATGCACAAAATAAATATATCAATGTAAAAATTAATGTTAACAAAAGTATGAGCTCATTTCATAATTATTTTCAAGCTTCTTTCATAGAGAACTAGTTTGAGGAGGAAGAGAGCAACCATTCGGCAAGGCCAATGTCACTGGTGAAATATTCAGCTAGACCACTGAACTCTGCTATTTCATGGCATACATTTTCCCTAACTTCGGCTGGCCGTCTCACAGCTGAGTGGCCCTGACGACAAGGTGGACCCAGGGGACACTGTGTGTGCATAAGGGAAAGCTGATCTCTAGTCCACAAAAACGCTACTCAGTGAAAACTTTGAATTCATCCCTTTAACACGAGTTCATTAAATCAATATTTGTGGAAGAAAGGGCAGGAACAGAAATTAAAAGAAGGGTGAAAGGGAAGGAGAAAAGGGAAGGAAAATGAGGAAGTACTGCACAAATAATTTACAATAATAAAAATGACTTACCTGGGAATTCTTATTACCAGAGAGTATGAACACAGAGAAGAAATGCCGGGTGGGAATGAAGACCCCTTTCCCCAGTGGCTATACTTGGAAAGGAAGTTGGATAACAACATTTTGCAAACAAACCAGTTTCAATACAATAAAAAGTATAAGCGACTGCTTACAAAGAAAACTTATCTACCTCATGGGGGATTCGACACTCCGCCAGTGGATTTACTACTTTAAAAAAATTGTGAGATGTATGTATTTTAATTTCATTTTGAAGTTATAGTTGGTTTTTGGACTTCTAAAAAAAATAATGATGAGAATTTTTTTTCATGTTGTGATCTTCAGTTTGTTACTATTTTTAATTTTCTGGACTTTGTTTTGGGCTTATGAGAAGTTAAATTTTATGTTTTCAATCACAGATATTACTGCTATTTTTTCTTTGTGTATTCTGTAAATAACTAGAATTTATTGAGATTGGAATGCTTCTAGCCAAATTTTCCACTTTGCGTGAGCAGCAATTCTGTAGTATGACACGATGTTGGTTAGAACTTGTCAGATATTGTATATGTTTGAAAGTTAAATAATTTTCCATTTGCTAAAAGATTTACTGATTTGTTTTCCATCAGCCTTACGACTTTTTGATCAGCATGGAACTGGGCTTTTTAGAACACATATTCTTCTGGATGCGGAAAGACACATTTTGATTCAATGGAGAAAACACAGTCACCCGTTTGTTACCCAACAGATATTCTCCCTGAAAGATGAAAACTATATCCCACGGGAAATCGACCAGGTGGCAGGAGACAAGGATACAGCAGTTGTGATCACCATTGGCCAGCACTTCCGGCCTTTCCCCATCAACATTTTCATCCGCAGGGCTATCAATATTAAAAAGGCCGTTGAACGTCTATTGCTCCGAAGCCCAGAGACCAAGGTGATTCTTAAAACCGAAAACACAAGAGAGGTACATCAAAATGCAGAGATGTTCAGTGACTTTCATGGCTATATTCAGAATCTTATTCTGAGGGATATTTTTGTGGATCTTAATGTGGGAATTATCGATGCCTGGGATATGACAATTGCATATCTCACTGCCGACGTTCACCCACCTGAAAATGTTATTGCAAATCAGATTGGCATATTCTTAAACTATATTTGCTAGAGAAAAAATTGCAGGAAATAACACTACCCATTCTCTCAATGACCTCATATATACTGTAGACATATTTTAATGTATCCAAGGTATGAGAAAATAAAATTCTTTAAAAATATAAGTTGTAGTTAAGTATGTATAACATAAAATTTACCATTTAAGGGTTGGGGAGATAGCTCAGTGGTCTAAGAACCTGCCTAGGAAGTGCAAGCACCCAGGTTCGATATCTGGTACTGCATGTTGGCCCCAGAGCCGCAGGTGCACCGTGCCGGCCACTGAAACCGGGCATGGTGGTGCACTCCTGTAATACCAGCGCTGGGGAGACTGAGACAGGAGGATCACTGCAAGTCTGAGCTGTGTAGAGAGACCCTGCACCAATAAATAGATAAATAGATAAAATTTAAAAATGAAGCAATAATTCCCTTAACTCCATCAACTCCAGGAGCTGGCAATGCTACTATAATTTCTGTATGAGTTTGACAACTCATATAAATGGAATCATATAAAGTTCTTGTCATCTTGTGTCCAGCTTATTTCACTTAGCAGAATGTCCTATAAGATTCATCCATGTTGGGCCGACAAGATAGCTCAGCAGACTAAGTGCCCCCAGGGAGGGTCGAGCCGGCCACAGAGTCCCAGCGTGGTGGTGCACACCTGTTATCCCCGTGCTGGGGAGGCTGAAAATTGGATCACTATGAGTCCGAGTTGGGGAGTGAGACACTGTAACAACCAAATACATTTTAAAAAAATGAATCTCCCATGTGTGGCATGTATCAGAATTTCCTTTTTCTATTTTAAGAATTAATGTTATTCCTTTACACATAACACATTTTGCTTATGCCTTCATCTGTTTAAGGACATTCGAGTTTTCACCTTTCGGACATTGTAAATGATGTTGCTGTGAAAAAGAAAACAAACTTTGTTTCTAATTTTTTTTTTTTTTGTATGTTAGTGAAAATCAAACACAGGGCCTTATTCTCACTAGGCACATGCTTTACCACTGAGCTACAGTCTCCAATGCTGACCTTGATGTCTATCCAGATAGGATACTATGATCACTCGTAATTTAATTTTAAGAAAGGTGCAGCCCCAAAATGCGTAGCCTAAGTGATTCAAATTGAGAGCAAATGTGAGTTATGTAAGACCATAATAGTAGTCTTTTTGCTTAGAAAACTTATTTGGAACTTGGCAGCCAGTTGTTTTCTAGCTTCCATTAGGACTCATGGATCACCATCCAAACTCTTGACGGAAAGTCACAGTATTATTGTGTCAGTGGACAGAGTCTGAAACTGACGTATTTTGACATATACTGATCCTAAACATATGATGGTACGATATTGGATACCTGCAGAGGGCCTCAAATGAGTTCATAAACTTTGCCTCCACATGCTCCTCTTACTGTAAAAGTGGCCAGCCTTTCCATTAACATATTCTGACTGTTAAGAGTTAAAATATTGTTTTCAAGAATGACTCACACTTGTGTCTCTCCTTCCTTCTCTCCTTCCTTCCTTCCTTCCTTCCTTCCTTCCTTCCTTCCTTCCTTCCTTCCTTCCTT